GCGGAGGGGTGGGAGGGAGCGCTACGTTACCGCCACGTGCCTGTGGCGTGAGTTGCCACGTTGCTGCTGGGTAGGGAGGGGTTCTCCGTTGCGCAACATGTTACAGTATGTATGTCCCTCAGTGAAAGGGTGACCCAGTTATACACTCGCACTGGGTTCTCTTTTCATCACCTATGAATCTCAGGGCTATGGTGAAGGTATTGTAACCTACCTCCACATGGGAAATAATTATCTATAGTAAGTCTTGTAAGAAGATGAACAGTTCCTTGATGTTCTTTCGGAAAACTGACAGTTTAGTGAAAACCTCGATTCAGAGCAAGAAAACCATTGCCTCTGAGATTCATTAATAGGGATTTCATTGCAGGTCAGGAATGTGAACTGTGATACATATTTTGGATCTCCAGGTTGTAAAATATGGAAATACATAGAGGAGCCTTGTAATGATAATTCTGTCATATTTTCTTCTTTCCCCCCCCCCCTCCTGTGTTTCTGTCTGTATCCTGAGGAGCAGTGATTTGTCTTTATTTTGGGGATATCATAGTATGTATTCGTGAGACAGTGCTCCAGAAGGCTAACATGTAACACTGATGGTAAGATATATCATATTCATATTTCAGTTGCAGCATACACATATTGATACTGCATTATCGGACATAGCAGAAGTCTGAAATACAGTGTGTTCCAAAATTATCTTTAATGTTTGCACAGACTCATCAAAATGATAATGTAGTAAAACAGTGTTTTTAGACCTTGGTTGCATGTGAGGAGAAGTATCACAAGAAGTAGCAGGGCAGTTGTTGCAGATTGGTGTGGAAGGGAGGGAAAATGATGCCCTGTAACTAAAGCCCCAACACATGCACCTCCTACAGTCCTTGCCATAGTGAATGGACTTGGCCAAATATAGTGTGTGTTCTGTTGAGAACCACTTCAGAAAGCACAGGCTGTACCTAAGCAGCTTGTCATCTTAGTTTTTGAATAATTTGATATTTTGTTAGCAGCATTGTTTATATGGCATCTAATTAGAAGTGACATATGTTAGGAGGACTACTGTTTATTATATTTAAGAATATAATGTGTCGCTGCTCATCTTTAATACTTTTGTATTGCCGGGGAGCATGCACAGAATAATATATGAACGGTGCTGAAAACAAGAAATAGCCGCTGCAGCACATGTAGACAAGAGCAGGTGTCCCTGGTATTTTAAACTGTAATTCTAAAATCAAATTGACGAGCGTGTGTTGGCGAGATTTTAAAACAAAACTGACAGGCTGATGTTTTAGATTTTGGACTGTGTGCAGTGTGACAGCTATGTAGTGAAAAATACACCTGATAATGGCCAATTACGGCCGAAACATGTAGTGTAGAGGAAGAAAAGACAAAGTTCTGCAACGAAATAAATTGTTGCATTCACGACGGCATTTGTATTATTACATGTAGAAATGTTAGGAGGAATGTGGAAATACCTGTGGTCTACTTGAAAGTACCATTCCAGCATTTTCCTAGAGGAATAATTTCTCAATTGGGTCACAATTGCATCCTTCAACATCCTTTCCAATTCATTATTTCCTAATCATTCTACCATTTTATGGTCTGTAGTACAAATTTCCAACGACAAATTGTTAGGCAAATCCATCACACAGTTTTGGAGGTGGAATGTGAATATGGATGGACACAGACTTGACATCCACATGAGGCAGCTTCAATTTTTGTGATGCTATTTCTCTATACAATAAGGTCATAATAATGCTTCATGAGATTATGGTAACACAGTTTTCCAGTAGGGTGCAGCATGCATGGGTTGCTGGTGGTGCTAATTCTGCTGGTAGGTGGATTGGGCAACAGTAGTGTTTGTCAGCAGTTGTTATTTTCATTGGAAATTCCTATTTATAAGAGTTTAAACCCTTTGTTTTGTATTTTTGTAATGCAGGATATAGTAACTGTCAAACATGATTGGACTGTGAGTATGTGGAGCCCATAGTAGAACAGAAGAAAATGTTATTATGCCAGCAGCTGGTTTACCTCTACCTGTTGGCCTGCTGATACACATGTACTGTGCCTTCCTTAACGTTGCTCTTGTTGTGTACCTTAAAGCCTCACAATGACTTTACTGATAATCCACTCCTGCATTTAGACCAAGAAAACCCTACACAGTGATGGGTGAGAACATGAGCATTTTTTCTTTAGATCTTTTGATTTAGGAACACACTGTTTTTTTCAACATTTTCGTCTGTGTTAACAGGAAATGAAATGTTTCATGTTGTGTAACTTCATTCTACACAGTTTTTTACTTTTCTTTCCCAGACAGTAGTACTGTAATGTAATACAGATTACATTTTCTGTATGTTTTGGTCTACAGAATGAGGTGCAATATTGGTTTATAATGATGTTTAACAGAAATAATTGTTGTAAAATTTCGTTGAGATACTTAAAACTGGCTTAGGTTTCAAACAGCAAAGAGAGTATGATTTATTGCTAAGTGTGCTAAGTGAAGGTGAAATGTAATGTGTGATTTCATTATAGTAATTCCTGTTCATAATATTATGTAATAAGTGTAATCACGCCTGTTGAAAAGAGTCTTCTAGGTTAAAGTTATTTAAAAGTAATGTATGGATAAAGAATCATATATCTTAAACTTGGCAACTACTGTGTATATGCAAGAAGTTGTAACATAATATATATGCAGGCATGTATTGTATATTTGCATTCATATATTGTATTATGAGTATTTTAGTTTTCACAAAATAAACATTACTGCAATAACTTCATAAGATTAACACATTGCCATACTATTTAGTTTTGTACACTTAAAATATAGTGAACCGGGATAGCATAGTGAGTATAGTGACTGGCTGCAGGCTGGATGACCAAGGGATCATAGTTTTAAGTCCCAGTAGGATCAAGAATTTTTTCTTCTCCACATCATCCAGAACAGCCCTAGGGTCCACCCAACCTCTTATCCAATGGGTACCATGGGCTTTTTCCTGGGGGTAAAGTGGCTGGAGCATGAAGCCTACCACTCACTTCCAGCTAGCACTGAGGTCAAGAAAATGTAGAGGTACAGAAATTAATTACATTAATTTGGAAAAAAGAACATTCCAGATAACTGGAGAATCGGCATCATAATCCGCATGTTTAAAAATGAGATAAACTAGACTGCAACAACTGTAGAGGTATTACTTTGTTAAATACACGTGTTGGGTGTATGTCACACGACAAATAACTTCACGCCGTTCTGGATATAGCAAATTTATTGAACACTCGCTCTCACAATTATACAGTTTACAATTTTCAATTACTGCCATTTGCAGTATCACAAATACTTCCCCTGTAGTCATTTCCATTCACTCAATACAACTCAATAACAATTGAATTCAAGTCACTCCGGCGAATGCTAGACTGCAACTGACTGGTTACTCTCTCTCTAGTAACTCACTACTCACTCACTACTGAATAGTGTTCGCTGCTCCTTATTTAGGCTCGGCATGGACAACACAGAAAACAGTTACGTGATAGGTACCACTGTTGCATAACATGTTTACTGATTGCCTAGCAACAGTCATTGCATGGGCTCCCCTGTTGAGTGATGTCACAGCCTAGCAGGGAGGGGTGTTTACCGAGTGTTGCATAATGGTGGAAGGAGTGGGGGTATGTGATGTCACTCGTGGGATTGTATGGTATATAAAGTACTCTCTAGTTTAATAAGTGAAAAAATGAAAATTACAACAGAAAGGATAATCAGAGAATACCAGTATGGATTTCGCCCCAGTAAAAGTACGACTGATCAACTCTCTATCATTAGACAAATGATGGAGAAACATAGGACTAGATTTGCATGTATTGTTTATTGATTTTACACAAGCCTTTGATAGTGTGAATACAGAAGAACTTTTTGAGATAATGAATGAACGTGGAATCTCTAAGAAATTGATCTATCTGATACAAATGTCTATGAATACCACTAAAGCCAAAGTTAAGGCTGGCGATAACCTCAATAAGGAGTTTGAATTTAACGAGGGAGTTAAACAAGGAGACAGCTTGTCCACAACCTTATTTATATTAGCATTACATAAGCTGCTATGAAGATTATTGATCAGCGGGGCACAATTTACAATAAGTCTAGTCAAATCTCTGCTTATGCAGATGATATAGCCATAACAGCAAGAATAAAAAGGAAATTAATAGAACTATATGAAGAAGAATAAGCAGAACAGATAGGGATAATAGGAAACTGTAACAAAAACACTAAATATATGATTATGTCAGCATCAGAGTTAAGGTGGAAACCGAAAGATCTCCACATTGAGAATAAAATGTTTGAAGGTGTGTCCAATTTTAAATATTTATGGAATGTAATTGATAATAAGAATAAAATTAGAAGTTTTGTTATGGAAAGAATACAAGTAGGAAACAAAGCATATTATGCTAATTTACATCTAATTAAAAGTAAGTTAATATCAAGATATTAAAAAAAAAACATATATCAAACACTGATATGACCGGTGGTTTCATACGGCGGGGAAACATGAACTGATGAGAATGCCCTCAGAATATTCAAAAGAAAGATATATGGAGCAGTTTTAGAGAATGCAGAGTTTAGAATCTGCTATAACAAAGAATTAAATGAACTTATAAAATTAGAAGATATAGTTAGATTCATTAAAGCTCAGAGACTACAGTGGTTAGGGCATGTTGAAAGGATGAATGAAACGGCTATGCAAAAAAAAAAAAAAAAACTCCACGGTAAAATAAATATGACAAGGAAGATAGGAAGACCCAGGTTGAGATGGTTGAAGGATGTACATGATCTCCATAAAAAGAAAGTGAAAGGATGGGGAGGAAAGATGAAGCATAGAGAAGACTGGAGGTAGATTGTTCAGGAGGCCAAAGCTCACCCTGAGCTGTAGCGTCGAGGGGAAGATCTTATCATTAATTATACAATTTGGGGTCCAGGAGCTTATATTTTCCTTGATACATGCAGTAGGTTTAAGAAAGTTGTGTGATGTGTTTTGAATCATTTATTATATTAAAATAATTTATAATGATAAGGAATTAAACATACTTTGTGAAAAAGCTACTTTTGTTTCAGGTTTGTTTGGGAATACAATAAAACTTTTGTTATGATGCTGACTGAATCAGGGTGCTGAGGTGGTCTGCGAGGTGTTGAAGAGAGAAGCTGGTGGCAGTAGGAATGCAACTTTCGTTTCTGACAATCTGTAACAGAGTAAGAACTGAGGTAAGAATGGGACAACCAAATGTGGGCAGCGATGACTGATCAGCATTACATCTCTGTCTTTACGTAATTCAGTGTACGTCAAATCAGATACATGTTATAGAGATTAGTGAGGTGAATATTAGGGGATGTTCATCTATTGTGGACTCCCTTTTATAAAAGTCCCTGGCATGTGCTTATCCTATCAGAAATGCACTGAAATGCTGTGCCTGCTTACTCTGGTTGCCCATAAGGCTACGAGGATTGTAGATGAATGTGCATCTTATGTCCATGCAGACATTTCAGAACAAGCAACATAATAATTTTTAAATGTATGTAGAATTAACTGCTTAGTTAACCATCAGCAGTATTTACACACAATGCATTTCATAACAGGCTCTAAGCTTCCCTCACAGTGTAAATGCATTATTAGGTACAAATGTTTTTTCTTGTCAGCTAATAAATGTGAAACCAAATTGGACATTGTCAGGAAAAGTGGATTGCTAGTTGGTGAGTAAAGTGCCATGGGTTCAATTGAGCTATTTTTTTACTATTGTGTATGCATTTCTGTGGGCGCTTATGCATATGTTGTTATTATTGTATTCTTTTTAAAACAGCTCCTATGTTTAAAGATTTCATGAACATTTAGTTTATCAAAACACATTTTGATGATCAGTTTTTCATACATAAACACTGACTATAGGCTTTATTATGTTATGGTTAGTCTGTGTAGAACTGGTTTATAAATTTTATATTCATTTTATAAAATATATTCCAGATATGAGATCTTACAATTATGTTTAATTTTATGGCAGATCTAATGACTACTGGACAGAATTTATCCAGGGGTCAACTTTACCCAAGCATGTCAGCTGAAATGGAATTTTACATCTTTATGACAAGAAGGCTAGGCAGAAAAGCATTTTGTGTAACATTTTGATGAACTGATATAATAACTGTAACATCCCAACGAAGTTATTGTCATATGAAGCAAGTGTCATTGACAGAAAGGCAAACATACAATATGAAAACAAAAAAAGGGAGGGTCCAGATTACCTGAACTTCCTCTATATATTTCTTACAATTAGTTGGTATGATGAAGAAGTATAAGCATTTTGCAAAGGGATACAAGTGAAGGATGATATCAAATGATGAGACTTCTTGTTGAATTCTTGATGGGTTTTATCTTCTAGATGAGAAGATGCATGCATGTCATTAACAGAATTTATTATAATGATATTGTTTGGACCATCTCTCTAAAAATACAATTAAGTATTGAAAGTCTTGTAACTTATCCTTATAATTAAGCAGTTAATTTAAGAGGCAGAACAAATACAAGGATGACTGACTTACTTATCTGTCTCAACTGGTGCAACTGTAGTGCCACTCTCACCATTGTGTTGAGTCTCATTTTCCATAACTCCAATTTCAAATTGCACACTTGATATAACATATCTGGAAACATAAAAATAAGTGAATTCTCATTCCATCAAATCCTCCACATTCATTAGCCATCCGATCATCGACACTGTGTGGTCTTATTACTGAGAGAATTGTAAATAAAAAACTTGAAAAAAAAAGTTAGGGTAGTGTTCATTGTTAAGTGGTAAGTGTTCACAATTCGGGATTCCATCTGGCTTACAGGACTGCTTCAGAATAATGTATGAGACATATGTTCAGTATTTTGCCCAGTTAACCTTAGAGCACAGTGGTTAATATATACACCACCTGCCTTATAATTAAAAGCTCAGTGTTTTTCCTACAGAATGTATTTATGTGTTTCATATGGTTCTCAGAAGAAACAGTGCTCATGTCTCTAAATAAGATTAACAGATTTGTCTCTATAATGGAAATGAGATGTGTTGCCTGTGACATAGAGGCTGAATATTCATATATTATTCAGATGAACTTTGTGCATCAGAGGTTTAATGAACAGTTCTGTTTGGTCAATTTTGTTATGTTTTCAATAAATCTAACTGAATTTATCAGAAGGACCACATCATGTAATTGTATTCTCTTCAACAAAAGAAAGTATGAAAAATCAGTGACTACAGTTAGTTCTGTTACACTGCAGAAAATATGTTGTTGGAAAGCTGTTCATACTGCCTAGAATTATAAATTACTTTTGCCTGTATTTCATTAAATATTCACCATATAAAAATATATTATACTTACACACAAATCATATGTGACAAGACTGATAAAGTTTCAGTTAAGCTTCCACTACAGTAGAGTGAATATTTAACTGATATGAACCAAAATTATATTTATTCAACAACTTTTAGTTTACAATGAAGTCTTCTCAGGTGATCAGCCATGTAATGTATGGGTTGGTGCCTGATGTTTCAGAGACAGGTTCTGTCTCCATTATCAGGGGTTGATATGAAGAGTGTTGTGTTTACACACCATATTTATACACAAAGCTGGGTGGGTGTGGGTGAAACAGGAGGAGGTGGTTTGGACTGGATTGATCTAGCTCAGGACATGGTACCAGTGGCAGGTACCTATGAATATGGTAATGAACCTTCAGATTCCATAATATGTGGGGATATTCTCGAGTAACTGAAGAACTGGTGGCTTCTCAAAGATGACTCAGTTCCATGGAGTTAGTTAATTAGTTAATCTGTATTTATCATAACCTTATCCATTTTAACAATGGACCATTTGTTAGCAACTACAGCACTTGAATTGGAGCTGAAAACAGTTTCACTTGTCTTATGGGTTACCCTTGAACTTCAGTATGCTTCAATATGTTTATAGTATTCCACAGATTAGTCAGGTTAGTAACATTTTTGCCTAACACCCCTAGCTGAATTGCAAACTAAACATCAAAGATGTAAAATATTTAATCATCTTGAGTAACTGAGTTATTCATACACCAATTCATGTTGTCTTCTGGGCTGATTTCATGTAGTTGATGGTCACCACCATTTTTGAGGAACATGCTACCTTCCATATGTCCTAAAAACTGGATCTGTTTCTGTCCTGAGGTGAGGAGGAGATGCCTCTTAAAAACAGCTAACCTCAGTTACAGTGACTGAGGTTAGCTCTTTCTAAGGGACCCAACAGAGTAGGCATCTCCCCCTCTCCTCAGGATGAACAGATCCAGTTCTGAAACGGTGTGTTCTCTATTTTTTAGAATACTGGATGATGGACAAAGTCCAAAAATCCAGTAATTCTGAGTGTTATACACCATAATCAGAACCCTTTAGAAGAAGTATTTCAATTTGTTACAGAACTAGACACTTCACTATTGTCACCCTTGTAGCTTGCCATTAAATGCTATCCACCAATTCACACTCTGCTTTTCTAAGACGCATTTTAATATCATCTTTGCATCTATATCTTGTTCTCTCATGTGGTTTCTTCCAATCAGGCTCTCCAACCAAAGTTCTGTATGCATTTTTTGTGTTCCCCATGTGTGCTATGTGTTGCACACATCTCATCCTCCCTTCTTTTATCACCCTAAAAATACCAGATGAGTACAGAATGCAGTTTTATCACAATCCCAAATAAATATACTGGCAGTCTATCACATATGTAACTTACGCATTTTGGGTTTGATTTGCACCGTTGACCCACGATGAGTTGGAAGACTGTTCATTATCAGTTGTGGTCTCTTCAGATGTAACTTCTGTCAAGAATGTCAACAGGCAGGCAGCAATGAGTGCTGCAAGCAGCTGGCCCTGATGGAAGAGATCACACAATATGTATAGTGAATTAAGCTAAGCATGACAGTGTTTCTCTGTTGTTCAACATCCCTGCAAACAGCATTAGCAGTTGATGCACATCTAACAGAGGTACAATTTTTACATGAGGAGCATACATTGAACAGTGCAAAGTCTCTGCAGGAACTCGGAGACCAACAATTTCCAAAATGGAAGAGCAGAATTTCAAACCATAGTAAACTTGAGTAAGAAAGATAATATCGAGGCGATGCCTCCTCATACATAAAGTCTGCAATTTTAACTCCCCAGTGCAAGAGAATAACAGTAATGGACTTCAGGAAAGAAGCGATTAAAAAAGAGGGTCGCAAACCTCTACTGTATGCGTTCCAGTTTGTTGGCATCAGTTAACGTAATTGGATTCCAGACTACGGACACATATTTAAGTTTAGATCTAACTAATGCAATGTACAACTGAGCATACATTCTAGAGATGAGAAATTGAAAGTAATGTTATGAATAACGACAACAACAACAACAACAACAACAACAATAATAATAATAATATGACAAAGTTAAGTTGCCCTGCCCATGTGCTTAATTAATTGACTAGGCACCACGCCATGACGACATATTGTTATGGCTCCACCATTCTTGACCTCAGCGCTAGATGGACTGGCTGCTTTAACCCTGTAGAAAGAGCCCCCGGTACCCATTGGATAAGAGGCTGGATGGGCTGTAGAGCTGGTATGGATGAAGTGGAGTAGAAGAAAATCTCTTGCCCCTGCCAGGAATTGAACCGTGACATTCAGCCTGTAGCCCACTGCTATACCAACTGAGCTGTTCTTGCTCCTCTACTACTAACATTCAAGTTTATAAACTGAAGGTTGCTGGAATATAATGTACTGTATGTGTTTGCTTTATGTTAATTTGATATTGATACATCTCATCAACAGTGCACTACACAAAAAATTTATAACAACTAAACACGCTTCTGTTTAGCTTATCAACATCATCCCTCAGAAAATGCTAATTTATTATTTATTATGTCAGATATGAGATTTTCACAGCAGTGANATGCAATGTACAATCTGAGCATACATTCTAGAGATGAGAAATTGAAAGTAATGTTATGAATAACGACAACAACAACAACAACAACAACAATAATAATAATAATATGACAAAGTTAAGTTGCCCTGCCCATGTGCTTAATTAATTGACTAGGCACCACGCCATGACGACATATTGTTATGGCTCCACCATTCTTGACCTCAGCGCTAGATGGACTGGCTGCTTTAACCCTGTAGAAAGAGCCCCCGGTACCCATTGGATAAGAGGCTGGATGGGCTGTAGAGCTGGTATGGATGAAGTGGAGTAGAAGAAAATCTCTTGCCCCTGCCAGGAATTGAACCGTGACATTCAGCCTGTAGCCCACTGCTATACCAACTGAGCTGTTCTTGCTCCTCTACTACTAACATTCAAGTTTATAAACTGAAGGTTGCTGGAATATAATGTACTGTATGTGTTTGCTTTATGTTAATTTGATATTGATACATCTCATCAACAGTGCACTACACAAAAAATTTATAACAACTAAACACGCTTCTGTTTAGCTTATCAACATCATCCCTCAGAAAATGCTAATTTATTATTTATTATGTCAGATATGAGATTTTCACAGCAGTGATTATGGAGAATTCCAGTCTTCTGGAATATAACACCTGTAATCCATTGAATGTTAAGGGTTGTTTCGGAGAAACATGTCGCTTCTGCCTTCAGAGTCGGAGAATATGCCAGGCAAGAAACCAACATGAAGCAGGTATCCACCATAGCTCTGTCTTATTCTGGTTTCTCGCTTGGCTTATTTTTTTGGCCCTGAAGACAGAAATGACATGTTCCTCTGAAAAGTGGTCTAACTTCCAATAGACTACATGACATTATGTCCCAGAAGGTAGAATTCTTCATAGGTGATAAACCCCCAGAAAGTGTTACAATGTTCAGATATTTTGGAATGACTGTAAGAAATCAAAATAATATTCAGACCTAAGTCAAGAGCAGGATAAATCCGGGAATACTTGTTATAATTGCCTTCTGAATACTTTATCTTCCCATTTTCTGTCTAAAAGCTTTTTTTGTATGGGTATGAAACACAAGGGAAAGGTATGCCTTACCATACCTAACTCATGTTATAGTGGCAACTCAGAAACTTGAACAGCCATAAGTTTGCCCGCAGAAAAATTTAAGCCTCTTATATGTTCCATGTTGGACTTTGCTTTATCCTAGTATGTGAACGTTTATGTTTTCATTATTCTGGCTAGCTTCTGCATAATTTTTTTAGTACTGAATCATAAATCCATCTAAATAATATATTAAATAGAATATAACAATTAGATTTCTACCTCACAAAACACACAGAGATTCACCATTACAAAGATCAGACTCAATTAATGATGCTTAGGAAAATATTCACTGTTTACTGTGAGATAGACCTGACCAGTGGGCAAAATGCAGAATTTCTTAAAGTTACAGCAGTGGGGACCGCCTGTGTGGTTTAGTGGTCAGAGTTCCTGGCTACAGATCCAGAGGTCCCGTGTTCGATTCCCGGCACTACCAGACTTTCTGAGAAGCAGTTGGTCTGGAGCGGGGTCCACAGCCTCGTGTGGATAATTGAGGAGCTATTTCAAATAAATAGCGGCTCCGGTTTAGAAAACCGAAATTAACGGCCGTGGGGATTCGTTGCGCTGACCACGCGACGCTCTCTATCCGCTAAAGTTGGCACTAACTTCGTCGACAAGCGGCTGTCGCTCGGTCGGTATAGTTCGCTTGCGGACTCAAGCCACGGAGTTTAGTTTGCAGCAGTGGGTAATATAGTAACCACTCTGATTTAAAGGGTTAAGTGGCAGAACTTTTACCTGAAATCTCAGGCAAGTGAAGCACAATTTCATATGACTAAAATAAGTAACGGCCTATCACAGTGACTGCACGGTCTAAAGGCAGGAACTGTCTTCGCTCGTTCGAAAGCTTGGATCGTGGGTTCGAATACCACTCAAGGAATGGATGTCTGTGTGCGTTTGTTCTGTGTCAGGTAGCGGCCTTGCGACGGGCTCATCCCCCGTCTAAGGAGCCTTATCGACTATATATAGGACTAAGAAACTGAAAAAGCGTCCAAGGTCCAAAAAAGGGTTGTAGAGCCATAGATAAAATAAGTAACGTAGGTATAATTATAACGACCGTCGGCAGAATAACCGCTCTTGTCTTAGGAAAAATAATAATTTGGAACGTGAAATAAATGCCGAAGTCTACAGTAATTCGTTAAAAACCTTTTGCTGGCGAAAATATGCACATAGCATGCAACTCACTTTCGTGTCGGTGACCATGCTGCTTGGAGGCGACTTGCGGCACTGCGACTTCTGAACAAATGACGCACACGTCACAGTCTCCAGTTTATATACTGCAAAGTGTGACTCACGTTCAAATATAATTAATTATACCTAAGTCACAAGCGGCGTGATGAAATCAAAACGAACGTTCATGAAGTGTCAATGGTTTCGGCCTTCTAGCTATTTTGGCCCTGGTAAATCAGGGGTGTCAAGGACGCCAAAAGACCGTTACATTTCGGTGTAAAATGGAACTAACAAGATGAAAACTGCCGAGCGATCCACTGTTTAGATTTTAACTCATGGAAGTGAATATTTTTTCTTTTTGTGGGTTACTTTACACCGTCGGTGTCTAGACTATACAGCATCGAATTGTAGGATGACAGATGAATGGGAAGTAAGAGGAATTCGGAAGGATCTGGAAGGAAGTCATCGTGGCCTAATCGACATACCATCCCGGAATTTACCTGGAGGAATGAACCTCAGCGTTCCGGCCAAGATTCGAACTGAGCACCTTCCGAGCGCGAGTGTAGAGCATTATCGCTACGCATTCTGTTATTAGTGACAGCCAATATTTTGAAGAAAAAAACATCAAAACTAGAACCTAAAGATAAAATTTTAACTCAATATAAATGTTGGGTTTCTTCCACACCACTGTAATGGCCCTACCGCCATAATTCATTTCACTGAATTAAGTAGTTGCATTTCCTCTGCATTTCACTGTGACACTGTCACCTCGTCGCCGGGTCCCTCTCTCAAAATGGAGTGCACCACGTGAAGGCGAAGTTAAGACGTTTTATATTGCGAATGCTACGCCATGAGCACGTATCATTCGCACAAAACAAAACAAAACAAAACAAAAAGAAGACAGGATAAAGCTGAGTGAGTACCTCAAGCGCTTGTGTTCGAGAGACGCCCAGTACCCGAAGCATCTCGGCCGAAACACCAAATGGCCTGACTGGAGTTTTCATGATATTCCGACGTCCCTCTAGGGAAATACCTGGGAAGTACGTTAATTTTCTTTTTTAATTTCTTGGAGTGGGGTGAGACTGAATCCACCTTGTACGTCAGCCATTATTTGGCTTATTGTGTCAGTCTCGGATGATAATGGGTTCTTTTATTACTAGTGGGGTGGGACTAAGTCCCTTGTACTGTGGCCACTTCTGGCTTATTGTACCAGCCCCAGATGATAGGTGAGGGTGATTGTGGAGCAATTGGTGGAATGAAGATTGGCAGGGGAAACCGAAGTACTCGGAGAAAACCTGCCCCAACGCCACTTTGTCCACCATAAATCCCACTTGACCAGACCCGGGATCGAACCCGGGCCGCCGCGATGGGAAGCCAGCAACTAACCGCTTGAGCTATGGCGCGGCCTAATAGATGATGGTTAGTGTGGAGCAGTTGGTGGAATGAGAATTTGCAAGGGAAACCGAAGCACTCGGGGGAAAAAAAACTTGCCCCAGTACCACCCTGTCCACCAGAAATCTCACATGACCTGACCCTGGATCGAACCCGGACCTCCCCGGTGGGAAGCCGACGACTAACCGTCTTAGCTATGGCACAGTCTTTGGGAAGTACGTTACAATTAGACCAGGAGCGCTTACTTCTACGTCCCTTCCAATTTGTTATTCACTACCACCCAACCACTAAACGCTATACGCTCTGAGTTACTAAAAGCTTCCTTAAAAAACTATAAATATATTAAATAGAGAGGATAATATAAATACATTGTCTATGAAGTTCCTTATAAATATAGCCCAATCCAACCAGTTATATTAGATCATACACGAAACTGAGACATAGGCAAGAACTATGAACATGTAAACTAAATACCCCGACATCAATGTAACAAGACTGAAAGCTGCAACCCATGTTGAGTCTCCACGCCATTCTTTGCACATCTGCATTCTGAACGCTCCCGGCCGTTACAAGAAAATGTTCCGAACACGTTAACCTGCTTAATGTAGGCGATCTACAGTCTGAATTATGATTAGGGACCGGATTTTAATGCAAATGCATATTTCTTTCTTGCAACCAGAAAGTATGCTCGTTTGGATATATGTATGAATTACTTAATTTCTTAAATTTGGGACATGATTTGATGGTGCATATAAATGCATATTTTGCCTGTTTTATGAATAAGCATCATATTTTCGAAGATATCTATTTATACTGCATATTTCCCTTTCAAAATATTTTAATATATTTTAATTTTATGTTTTCAATTATGGTCATGTGTATACAATTTTTCTTTTCCGTATTTGAATATGTTGCATATTTGACTCAACATTTCGTCATGATTCATGTTTCTGATGCAATACCCAGAACGGGACTTGCTCGATCCCTGTACTCATAACTTTCCTCAGCCGCGTATCATCAAAGTAGCCGCGAAGAGATTAGTCGGAAGCGTTCACATGTAGCAGCTATCAACGTAATACTATTCAACCGACAAGGGACTTATTTATTTCCGAAGTCTCCATGAGGTTCGGTACGCTTCTTCATTTGAAGCTGAGAGCCATTTACATTAGTGGTGACTAGTCTATAGTTAAGTTTGTTTAGCTTTCTGTAGTCATGCCNTCCTGTTCAAAAATTGCTTAGTGAATTTTCTAATAATAGTGTTCTCACAGTTTTCCTTTGATTTATGCGAAGCCTTTTTAGCGGCAGATATTCCGCTGTGGAAACTAACCAATCCTACTCTGAGAAACTTCATAGAGAAGTATACACAGTGCAAAGTGCCGGATGAATCTACTGTGCGCAAAAATTACGTGAAGCAGTGTTACGATCTTACAATTGAAAGCATTAGAGATAAGATTCAAGATAATTTTGTGAGGGTATCAATCAACGAAACACATGATTGTAGGGGACGGTTTATTGCAAATTGTATAGTTGGATCCCTTAATAAGAATGAACAATCTACCCCATATCTTCTTGCGGTAGAGCAATTTGAAACCACAAATAGCTCCACAGTTTCCGAATTTTTTATCAATTCCAATAATTTACTATGGCCTAATGGCATTCAGTATGAGCCCGTATTGCTCTTTGTGACTGCTGCCGTAAGTTACATGATGAAAGCCGGTACTGCTCTTAAAGTTATATTTCCAAGTATGACAAATTTGACTTGCCTTGCCCATGGGTTGCACCGTGTTGCAGAAACAATTCGTGCAAATTTTCGGCTTGTTGACAAGTTGGTGTCTTCTGTGAAGAAGGTATTTGTTAAAGCGCCATACAGAAAAGAAGCCTTTAAAGCAATAGCACCGAGCGTTCCACTTCCGCCAGAACAAATTTTAACGCGCTGGGGCACGTGGCTGTGTGCAGCGAATTATTATATCGAATATTTAGAAACAGTGAATACATTTGATCCCAAAAGTGCAGCATCAATTCAAATTGCCCAAGATGTACTAAAAAGCGCAGAACTAGAAACTAATCTTTCCTATATATCTGCTCATTTCTCTCATCTTCCATCCGCCATTTCCGCACTGGAGGCAAGCAATAGCAATACTAATTTGTATCAGTCGTTAAGTGTGTTCAAAACCACTGGTTCCAAGTTGAATTCGGTTCCTGGGAGAGTAGGTGAAGTAGTAAAGGAAAAAGTACAGATCATTCTTTAAAAAAATCCAGGATATGAACAAATTTTGTGAAATTGAAGAAGTTTTATCCGGTAAATATACTGAACTGACAAGTAAAATATCACTAACAGTGGAGCAAATAGCGGCTTTTGTACATGCTCCCCTAAGTTCCTGTGAGGTGGAAAGAAGTTTTTCCCGCTATAAGGACATCTTACGAGACAGTAGGAGGCGACTAACTATGGAAAACCTAGAACATTTAGTAATTGTGAATTGCAACAGTAGAGAAGTTGAAAGTTCGGAGAGCTAAATGTGAGTACCATTGGTTTCTTAAATTTGTAATGAAATGTGTTGGCTTTGTTGCATGATTTGTATTTAAGTATAGCTTTTTATTGCAAGCGAATCATTCAGTGATTACATAAAATGAACTTAAATATTGATTTGTTGGTCTTAAAATAATGTAAAATCAATTTTAATATTTGGTATAAATTTTTATGTCCATATTTCGGAAGTTTTTCATGAATAAATGCATACATATTTAAGGGATTATAAGGGCATAAAAGTCCGGTCCCCAATTATGATGCCTATTCTGCTCCCTGCTAACGTCGCAAATAATATCAGAGACTCACATCGTCGCCACGTTTTCCATGTATAGACAGTATTTAAGGCAGACTACGTTGGCGTGTGTATGGTTTAGACCAAATTTAAAATAACTACCTCCAGTGGTTCATTAGTATCGCCATCAAAGCAACAGCTAAATATAGATTTCACGCAGCAACCATTCTATTGTCTTGTATAAAAACATTAAAAATGTTTTTCACTTATCTATTGGCCTACATATTTTCAGGATTGTATATTAGGTGTCACTAGTATTGCTTCCAACGCACAAATGTGAGTTTGAGATAAAGTCCATACCAGATTTCAACAAAATTCGTCCGGCGGTCACTTGAAACATAAGGGCATATAGACAGAGACACATATGCGTTTAGTCTGTGCATATCATACAAAGAACGCATAATAATATAGAACTGTCTGGGAAAAGCATGTACATCTGTACATCTCTGTCTAGGGGATTTCAGCGCGTATTGGATCAGTCCTTCAGTACGTCTACCCCATGAGCATTCTATTGGTAAATCTGAATGTAAAAATAGGAAGAGCAGGCTCTTTAGACTGAGAATCAGGAACGAGAATTTTATGTGGAATTAACAATTATAACTGTGTTAGAATAGCATGGAGCTTCTTCCCACATGTCTTCATGTCGCGATACTTAAAGTAAGCACGGGGCAACTTTAACTTAACTTTATCTTTACAAATATAAATCACTCCGTCCAATGTGACCTGTAAGTTTTTTACTACATGAAAACTTAACACCCTTACATGTTTCGGTCTCTGTGGACCATCTTCAGAGGGCAAACATCACTACAAATAGGAAACCACCATTACATAAGTTGTTTAGACGTAAAGTACGTACACTTATATGCTGTAGTACATAGTACACAA